TTCGCCTTTCGCCTTTCGCCTTTCGCCTTTTGCCTCGCGCCGCGCTAACCGGAGCGCTCGACTAAGTCAACATGGGTAAGTCACACACTTCCTCTTTGCAGCCTGGCGCTCGCTTGCTTGGCATCATGTGCAGCCGCACAGCCGCACCAAGGAAGCACAGCCCTCGCATCCCTGTCCCTCTCTTGTCTAGCCGGCGATTCGTCCACAACTTATACTGGCATCGGTCAACCGTCGGCACCGAGGAGATGACCCGGCTTGGGCCCAGCGTTCCGTGTGAATGATCCGCTTGGCGCCTGATCCGCGCCGAGAGATCCAGCGTCGAGATTGTTCTGCGGGCGTCCCACAGCATCTTAGGTGCCAGTGTCCATCTGCGATCATACTGCTTCGCATGAACGCGTGGGCAGGCTGACGCCGATCAAAGCCAGCTCTCGCGATCGCAAAGAGTCGCAACTCTGCTCATGCAAGTGAAGCTGAGCCGTCATGATCACCAGTCCTGCTAGTCTGTCCGTCGTCATCGGTCGTATGTTCCGCGAAAGACATGGTGGGCCAGCTGTTCACGGGCCTACTGGGCTCGACTCGACGCTTCGCATCTGGCGACGGAACCATCCCTCGATAGCTATTATACGGTCGCCGGCTACAGACCACATGGGCCACAAAGAGGGTTCGCAGGCGGTGTGCACACGAGGTCGGAGGATGGCAGCTTGGCTGTCGCTTCGGGTTCGAAGACACCGTCCTAGGCTTGATCTCCACCGAGCCTTAGCAACGAACAAGCAATGTTGACAAAGACGATGGTTTTCTCGCCTTTCTTTTCCTTGCGTGTTCCTCCGACGTCCCTCTTGTCTGCCCCCGCCTTTTGTCGCTGTTCCGCGCTCCCGCTCTCGTGCGCGCGCTCGGAACTGGCTTCGATTGGCCTGCTTGCATTCGCATCCTTCCGGTGCGGTCCTGAACTTTGGCAACCCTGCCCAAATCTTCGACGCACCTGCGGCTCGATTTTGGGTGCTGCCGCCCCAATTGGTCGGCACTGCCTTGGCCTTTTTTTAACTTGGTCTTTTGGCATGTGCCCCTCAAAATTTCCGCCCAACGCCCTTCCCTGCACCGTGATCTGAACCTGCAGCGGGCATTATTGACCCTCTCGGCTCCCTCCTGTCTACGATCCTCAACCCGGATGGCTCCACTCGTGAGTATCATACGGCGCGCCACTCCTCGCTCCCTCCCCTCCCCATTCCTTCGTCTCCCCTTCTCCTTCCATCCTTCGCTATCATCCCCATTCGCTTTCCACATCATCCCTCCGGCGATTTTGGGTCAAACCGCCACCTTTTCCCTCCCTTCACCTTCGCCACCCTTCCGTCGTCCTCCCCCACCCCTTCATCGCCACCGTTGTTCGTGGCTGGCGTTTGACCGCCCGTCGTCCCAAGCGTGAGCTCGAGCACACGATCAGGCGCTGGCCTGTCCTCGACCAGCACACCGTCTTCATCGACGTCTTTGGCGGCTTCGGGACAGGCCTCAACACGATCCACTCGCTCTGCCACCTCCTCCTCCTCTCTCTCCACCGCAACAATGGCTGACCCAGCACCAACATCTACTTCCGACCCTGTCTCGTCTTCCAACTCGATTGGTACGAACGCTCCGTCATCATCCACATCGGCTTCTTCATCGTCGTCAGAAACCATCACCATCACCCGCACAACAGACTCCTCCTCCACTACAAGGTCGACCTCGTAAGTTCACTTGGCGTGTTCTCGTCGCCTGTCGCCACTGCGACACTCATCGGATCGTCGTGACTGACACTTGTCCTGTCTCCATTCCCACTTGCGCCTAATTCTCTCTAGGTCGTCGTCCTCAACCTCGACTTCGAGCACCGTAAGTTCGACCACAACCGATGCGCCGACATCTTCGTCGAGCACCTCTCGGCCCATCCCCACTGTAAGCTCCGTGACTCGTCCTCGCATCAGCACGGCCCCTGCCCGCAAGCTTAGGCGGAAACAAGGTCAGATGCAGACGGCCACAAGCTCGTCGGCTTTGGGCCGATCGATGCTCGTCGAGCTCGATGGATGCGGATCCTGCTCCTGTCTAGCTGTCTCGCCGGCTGTCCTGCCTGTCGCTGGCCGCGTTGCCTCGATTCATCCCCACAAACTCAGGCTGACCCTCTCCTGCCTTCTGTCACCTCTCTCCAGTCCTCGTCGTCCACCACTACTCCGAGCAGCAGCTCGAGCACCACCACTCCGACAAGCTCGTCCACTTCAAGCACGCCCTCAAGTACGACAACGAGCTCGTCGTCCGAACCCACAACCTCGTCCACGAGCACCGAACCGACAACCTCGTCCACAAGCGCAACACCCACCTCGACGTAAGTACAATTGAATAAAAGCACATCGCCCCACACTTCCACACATGTCGGCAAGTCCCGGGGTGTGATCGCAGTGATAATTGCGTCGACGCGCACGGCGACGCACCACGGGGAGCTTTCAGATCAGCATCGCTTGCCCGTCGTTCCCACGCCCTTGCAACCTCCCTGCCCTCCCCTTTGTCAGGCTTGCTTGGCCTTCCTCCTTGTCGTGAGGGGGCGCGATGTTGATCATCTCACTCTTTGTATACCGCCGACGGTGCGGGCCTCGTGACTGTCCCTCGACACGCCGTACTCCTCGACATGCCTTGTTCGCACTGCTTGCAGATCATCGTCCAGCTCAGCCGTTCTGACCTCTTCTACCTCATCGCCCATCTCGTCGACATCATCGTCTTCTCCACCACCATCCCCATCGTCCTCTCGGCCTGATCCTTCGCCAAGCAGCGCATCTGCCGTCTCGACTTCAACATCCCTCACGCCATCGGTCATCACCACCCAGACCTCTCTGACAACCATCACCCTGCCTAATGGTCAGACGTCGACTTCGACCGCCTATGCCGTCACCACCGCCAACGGTCAGCTGAGCGGTAACAGCAGCAACAACGGTGGCTCGTCCGGCTTCTTCAGCAACTCGGGCGCAGTGGGCGGCACCTTCGCCGTGGTGGGCCTGGTGTGCGCCGCCATCGTCGCCGGCATCTTCTACATGCTGTGGAAGCGTCGCAAGGCGCAGAAGATGGATGCCGACGTCGTCGCCGCCGCCTCGGCCGCTGCGGCTACTACCAGGACGCCCTTCGACGACGACGACCCGGAAATGATCGAAGACCCTAGCTACGGCACGGGTGCCACCGCCCTTGGTGGCGCTGCTGCAGGTGCCGGAGCATACGGTGCCTCGAACGCCATGATGCAGCAGTACTACAACAACTACGGCCACTCCAACGAGGGCTACGAGCCCAGCCACCTGTCGGGCGGAACGGCTCCGGGCTACGCGGGCATGGGCGCTTACGGCCCCATGGCTGCGGGTGCTGCCGCCGGTGGTGCTGCCGGATACTACGCGGCAGGCACCGATGGATCGCACTACTACGACAGCGTTCCCACTGGAATGAGCAACGAGGGCGCTTACGCCGGCATGGGCTCCATGGGCCACGACAACGGATACAGCCAGAGCGCACACGACGACCCGTACGGCGCCGGCAGCGGCGGTCACGGCTACAGCAACTCCGGTGCGCCCCAGCTCAACTGGGCACCCGGTGCCTCGCCGCCGCTCGAGTCGGAGATGTACGCTGCGCATGCCGCGCCGGCTCAGGGAGGCGGCAACGTCTTCGCCGATCCGAGCAGCAGCAGCAATGAGACCGACGGCCGCATCGACATGAGAGCGCACGAGGCCGGCTCGGCTGTGAGCCTGCGCGACGACCAGGACTACGGTCGCCGCCTCGCCGTCCGCAACGGCGAGAACTGAACGATCGGTTCAAGCCGCTTGGACTACTTGTCGATGACGGGCAAAGCTTGCTGATAAGCGGGCCCGTCCCAAAAACTTCGTGCCGATGCCTCGCCTCCGACACCGAAGAGGCTCTTGACGGCGTCTTACAAAATCTTCGTCGCTGCTATCTCTCTAGTTTTTCCCCTAACATCGTTCGATTCCATGGTTCTGTAGCATTATACTTGTTTCATGGGGCGTGCTTGGTGTAGCCAGCAATGCGGTTCGATGGATCGCTGCTGGCACATGCACGCCCACCACTTGCTTCTCTTTGCATGGACGATCCAACCTTTTTCTCACGAGATCTTTCTGCGCTTGCGTGGCTAACAATGGTGCATTGACGGTGATGAGAGGGTGATGCGAGTATGACGGCGTCGAGGAATACGGGCAATGGTACAAGATGATGGCCGGTTGCGCTTGAAGCGGATCATACGAAACGGCTTAAGTTCGGGCGGGAGCGGGCGACATGTTGCTGAGAGGGTTGCGGGAGGGCGAGTCCTGGCTGACGCCGCGAAAGAGGCCGGCGTCTGGGTTGACGTCGAGACCTCCATTGAGGCGGCGGCGGGAAGCCAGTGGCATATCGGCATCTTCGTCGTCGTCAGCCGCCGCGTCACGAGGACGTCTGCGCGGGCTCGATCCGGACGCTTGCGAAGCCGCAATCGACTCTGCATCCGGCGTGGTAGTGGCGTGGTTGATGTACTGGCGCATAACGCTGGCCACGTTCGAGTTGAACAGCACATCCTTGAACTTCGATCGCACCTCCTGCTTCAGTCCCTGCACCAGTCGGAAGAGCTGCGACACAGTCGCGTCGGGAAACTTGTAGATCAGGAACGCAATGTAGACGAACTCGGCGGGCGAGAGCGGCTTGGAGACGGGACGACCCAGACGGTTGAGCTTGATCTCGGGCTTGATGCATGCGCCGTAGCGCTCGTGATTGGCCAGCGCCACGTACCGCTCGAGCGTGCGCTGCATGTTGGCACGGATGCTGGGCGGAGGCTTGGAATCGGCGTTCTGCTTGAGGAAGGTGTCGATGATATGAGCTGAAGGCACGTACTGCGACTGCTTGGCGTGCATGATGAGCAAAGCAATCTGCGCCATGAAGAGATAGTCCTTGCCGCGGTTGACCAGCAGCGTGTTATTGCCCGCATCGTCGTGCACGAGCGAGGGCGTAGGGTCGATGTACCGCTTGACCATCTGGCGGATGAAATCGGGCCAGGCGCCCAGGTGCGCACCGAGCTTCTCGGCCGACGAGAGCGTCACGCCCATCTGGACACGGCTGAACATGTCGCGCTCGGTCTCTTCCGAAAGGTCGTCAAACTCGACGATGGTGAGCTGCTCATTGTCGAACTTGCGACGCTGTGCGGGCGTGAGCGCGGGCGTCTTGCCTGTTTCGAGGTCCTCCTTGTACCAGAACTTGCGGCCGGTGGAGGGCTCCCTGACGGGGATCTTGTTGTCTCGAAAGTTGCAGATCGAAGACACACGTTGCTTGCCGTCGATGCAGACGTAGGTGAGGTCGCCCCCGGCTTCCTGCTCCTTCTGCACGGAGAGGAGGATTGGCGGGACGTAGTAGTGGCGCATGATGGACTCGATAACCGCCGACTGCTTGTCCGCGGGCCAGACTACGCCTCGCTGGTATTCGGGTTCGAGGTCGACGATGTCCTCTTTGATCATGTTGTAGATCGTGCTTGTGGAGAACTGAGCCGCGCGCGGGGCTTTGAGGATATGGCCTAGCTCGAGAATCTTCGAGGAACCCTTCTTCCTCCTGGCTGCGCGCGATGTAGAGGCATTGCCGGTATACTCTCCATCGTTGTCGCTAGGGGCAGAGTCCGAGGTGAGGTCGCCCGCATGGTCGAAGAGCTCGTCGAACTCGTCGCCTGTGGGTTTGCGCAATGACAAAAGGCGCCGCATGTCGAATACGCATGGGGGTAGGAGATGGCCGTTGAGGATAGTGTTTAGCCAGGCAAGAGCATGACAGTAGCAGACATGCGCGAGTGGCAAGCGGGTGTTCCATAGATGTCGGCGGACGAGTTGATAGTAGCATGGTGAGGCGTGAGTGCGGGAGCGGGTGCATTTGAGGGTGTCCAATACGCGCGGAAGTGGTTATCGTGTTGAGGGGGAGCGGGAGCGGGTCGAGTGTGACAGTCCGGAGAGAAGTGTGATACAAGAAAGAGAGAGAGTGAGACCAAGAGTCAGTGATGCGCGCAAAGAGAGGGTCACTCGAGTGTTGCTTGGTGTACTTACGTTCCTCGGGCTTGACAGGCGGCATTGTGGCTGGATGCCCCGACGATAGACGCACAGCGTGTGGGAGGATGTCTGTTGACGAGGGATGCGATATCCGCTCGACGATGAAGTCGACGCTGATGACCAGGCGCAAGTGTCGAAGTGTTTGATGGCGATGCGGCTTTCGCGCGTTGCAAGACGGCGAGGAGGCGCGTAAAGAAGTGGAGCAAAAATCGCAGACGCGTCTCAAAGCTGATTTGAGAAAATGTAACAGAAAAAAGGGGCAAAATTCAGGAATTCGAAAAGTGAGAGGAGATGAAGAAGGGAGGTGGAAGGAGGAAGAAAGAAAGGGGGAAAAATTTGGAGGGTTCCTTTCTGAAAGCTGGCCCTACAGTAAGGTTTCTGCTTCTTGGCCTGAGAGTTGAAGTTGCAGGTCAGACCCACTCCCTGAGAGTGGGAGCTGCAATGGGGATTTTCCTCATTGCACCACAAAGCCCTCTAGCCAGTCATTTCATCTGACAACTCAGCCAGGCTCAGCCTGCTCCTTCAGATCCAGCCAATCAAAGCGCTCCCAATCGATCACGTGACGATGCTCTCTAAACAGAATGCTCCCTGCTCATTCATCACACACAGAAGTTGGCATGGAGTCCCCGCCCATTTCATCACACCAGATGCAAAGCATATGCCAGCGAAATCAAGTCACTGTGAATGAGTCACACCGTGCTCCTTATGAGACCAGCAGCAGTGCAGAGCGGCTCGAACGAAGTTTTTTGAGGTCTCGAGGCGTTGTGCAAGCGCTTTGCGGAAAGTGTCTGGCTGGCGGGACAGCGAAAATCGACCCTGCGGCGACGGCGAGGCGCGAATCCTGGTTCGGCGAGCTTGCTGCTTGCGGGTCTTGGAAGCGAGTGGTCAGCACAACGCAGCGGTGTTGCTCTGGAGCAGATGCGATCGTCAGAGAGGTGGCTCTGGAAGTGGGGTGCTGCGGACAATAGATTAGGCAAAGTGGGCCGCTTGCGGGTCGGTCAGCCAGGGCGAAGCGATCAAAGTGCAGCAGCAGCCGGGATGAGGTGCACGAAGGGTCGCGTGCGTAGGGGCGCGCGCGCGCGGAAAAATTTGGGCGGCGATGCGGGACGAGGAGGCTGGCACTTGAACCCTGCGTTTGGGCCTCCGCAATCTGAGATTAGTTTCACACCCACGCAAGCCATCGTCGCCTTGGTCACCTCGTCACCACCTCGGCCGTTCGTTGCGAATCTCCTCAAACAAGACACGATCAGGCACCATGTTTGGACGCATCTTTCATCTGCTTTTCGATGCCATGCTGGTGAGCGTGGCGCTGTCCGGGATCAAGCGAAGCACGGGCTTGACGCCAGCGGTTTCGCGGATGCCGAACAAGGATCTGCGCAACTTGATGCGCATCTACCTGGAAGCGGGCGAATGGGTAAGCAGCCGCCGCACGAAGCGAGCGAAGATGAATCCTATGCATTGACGCTGACGATCGGACTTTCCTTTGCAACATGGCGGGATGGCAGATCATGGACTTTTCTGTGGTGATCCTCGGTCGCTCAAGCTCGTTTGAGCGGGTGCGCTAGGCGGCTTGCGCAGCTCGACTCGGACCTCAACGCTGGCTCATGATCTCTCAAGCGTCAGAAGCTCGCTGATACGCCCGGCTTCCTTTGTACTATACCCCCGATCTGATTCTCGCCGCAATGTACTCGCAACCCGTACTCAGAAGTGGCAAGCTGGACCGGACGATGGAGGTGGGGTTCCGGTTCACTCGCACGACATCGGCTTTGCATTTGAGGCTTGCGTGGCGGATAGCATGCTGCCGTGGACGGGGCAAAGGAAGCGAGCGAGTGGCATGTGCGCTGCGCATGGACAAAAGAGTGTGCATATCGGCTTGAAGCCGGCCGAGGTTGGATGAAGCGATGGCCGGTGAGGCAGCCCGATAACCGATGGCAGCGATTTGGCAGGAAGCTGGCGCTAGGATGCGACTTCTGGAGCTCTGACGGTAGCGATCGGCAGTCAATCCGAAAGAAGGGGTCAAAGAGCGTGGCACGGCGATCAGGCTGCCGGACGACACTGGCACGGATCGCCATGCCAGTCAGGAACCTCAGGGCGGCAGATTGTTGCACGTCTTGGGATGCCCTGGCCAATTTGACCGGAGGCTGTAGGGTGGGCCGAGCGAGCAGCGCTGCAGCGTGGCTGTCGGGCCCCATGCAGCTCTGCGAGGAGAGAGGAAGCCCCCCGAATTTCGGTGGACCGACTCGCTTCGCAAACGAGTCGAGCGCAGCCCGAATTCGAAGCCAAGCGGTGACAACCGCGACCGACGCCGGCGTGAGCTGCTCGTGCTGACCACAAAGCCTCAAGCGCAACATTAGATGGCCTGTATTGAAGCCGGGGAGCTCTTCAGGTATGTTCAAGCTGTGGCCATGCAAGTTCAGGCAAGGTCAGATAGGTTGAAAGACTGAGTTGCGGTGTCTGGCGAAGCAGCCGTGCGAATGGCTTTGAATGGCGAATCACCGACAGAAGGCCGCCCTGTGTTGGAAAAGAAAAAGAATTTCTGTACTTGGGCTGCCAGAAAATTTCGGCTTGCCCCGCGCGCGCGTGTGTGCTGAGCCAAGGCGCCCCAGGATGCGTTGCAGTGGTTGGCCGATTGGGGTGAGCCGCGCCGCCGCCCGTCCGTCAGCTGCAGCTGAAGCGACAGAGCGAAGAGACTGCCTGGGGTTTTTGGTGGCTCCGCTGCTTCCGCACGGATTTTGGCACGCTTTTTCCGATTTCGCACGCTCAGGCGCCCTCCGCTGGCTGACGCTGGCTGACGCTGGCTGGCGCTGGCTGGCGCTGGCCGGCTGGCTTTGGCCCTGCCTCTGCAGCCCTGAACCGCGCCAGCACGAGCAGACGCGCAGCTGCCTGCAGCCCCGCTTGTCACAGCGACGCAATCCCACTCACCCACAGCACACCGCAGAGCTCACAGCGCACTCCAGCCAGCCACTCACTCTCTCCCTGTGCTTCGACAATCGAGCCGAGTGTCGCGCACCCATCACCGCTCGTACACTTGGCGGCTGTCTGACTGACTGGTCCCCCCACCTACTCTAACTCGTCGCCCATCTTCCCCGCCATCCCGTGCGCTCGTGTCTCCTTGGCTCCCCACCGTCGCACCTCGCTCTTCCTTCCCAAGCTCGCTCGCTCGCTTGTTCGCGGACCTCGATCATTCCCCCGTGCCCTCCTCTTCACCAATCGCGATCAATACCGACGGCCGCACGAACCCTCCGCCTCTTTCATCACCTCATCGTGATCTTGGCCGACTGAGCTGCAATCGCCCTCCAAGCGCCAAACGGGTCCCGGTTCGATTGGACAGACTCGGTCTTAAAAAGGCCGTGCTCCTTGCTTCGACTCGCACGCCGTTCCACATCCTACCGCCATCGCTGACAGCAAGCGCTACGCACGCACGCACTCGGTCGTCCCCTCCAGCTGTCGCTCGGCCTCATTCGTCGTACGCATCTGCGACGTCCACACCTTCCGACTCTACCTCTGCAGTCGCGATGCCATCCATCGTCGCATCATCAGCCATGAACTCCATCTCCACCACCCCCGTGCACGACACGGGCAGCGCCTACGCCACCCCTCCCAACCAGTCCACCTCCAGCTTCGCCAGCGGCTCCAACACCCCTTCCCACGCCGCTCGCATGCAAAGCTCCGGCATCGGCGAATCCCCGGCTCCGTACTCCTCTCGTCCCTACCACTCCTCTTCCACCCCGCATCAGTCCAATGGCGGTACCAAGGACAAAAAGTGGAAGCAGATGTTCAAGTTCGGCTCCATCGGCAGAAAGGCCAGCGGCAGCACCACGCCCAACCACGGCGCACACGACCGCAGCTGGCACACCGACTCCACCGAGTCCGGCAACAACAGGAACCAAGATTACTTTGAACACCACCAGATCGCCGGCTCCTCCTCTTTCCAGCCCATGAACGGAAGCACCGTCGTCACCGATCCTAGCTCCTTTTCCAACGACAGCTACTCGTCCGAAGATCGCAACGCCTCCGGTTCCATCGGCGACGCAATGGTCGCCTCAGCTTCCGGCAAGCTTCAGCCGCCCGCCGACATCAGCGACAACGAAGCCAACCACCAGGGCTTCGCTTCCCGCCTCATGAGGCGCGTCTCCAGTGCGCCGGACGCCAACAAGCTCTTCAAGAACGGCCAACACGCCTCCGCAAAGGGCGGCGATGCAGCCGCTTCCACCAAGAACGGCTACCTCTCCCCAGACGCCTCGGGCGCCCAGCATGGTCAGTTTGCCTCCGAAGGCGGCGCAGCCAACACGGACTCATCCAACCCCACCTACTTCACCAACTCGCCCGTCCGCATGGACAGCAACGCCACCTCCTTTAGCTACAAGGACTTTGAGAAGGGCAGGTCCGTCAGCGCAAAGGGCTCCTCCACCCCCAAGTCCGGCCGCATCGCCTTCCCCGGCTCCGGCCGCTCCAAGAGCTCCAACGGCAAGGACAAGAAATCGCAGCTCCCGCCCCCCAGCAGCTCCGCCAACCTCGCCGCCCTCGCCGGCAGCACCGGCGTCAACCGTGGGCCCGGCAGCTTCCGACGCACCTACTCCAGCAACAGCATCAAGGTCAAAGAGGTCGAGGTCGGCCCCAACAGTTTCAGCAAGGTCAAGATGCTCGGCAAGGGCGACGTCGGCAAGGTCTACCTCGTCCGCGAGAAAAAGACCGACAAGCTCTTCGCCATGAAGGTCCTCTCCAAAAAGGAGATGATCAAGCGCAACAAGATCAAGCGCGTCATGGCAGAGCAAGAGATCCTCGCCGCCTCCAACCACCCTTTCATCGTCACCCTCTACCATTCGTTCCAGTCCGAGGACTACCTCTACCTCTGCATGGAGTACTGCATGGGCGGCGAGTTCTTCCGCGCGCTCCAGACCCGTCCGGGCAAGTGCCTGCCGGAGGAGGACGCCAAATTCTACGCCGCCGAGGTCATCGCCGCGTTGGAATACCTCCATCTCATGGGCTTCATCTACCGCGATCTCAAGCCCGAAAACATCCTGCTCCACCAGAGCGGCCACGTCATGCTTTCCGACTTTGACCTTTCCGCGCGAGCCACGCAGCGCGGCGGCGCTCCTGCCATGATCCGCCAAGCCACCCCCGGCAGCGCTCCGCTCGTGGACACCAGGAGCTGCATCGCTGATCTGCGCACCAACTCGTTTGTCGGCACCGAGGAGTACATCGCTCCCGAGGTCATCAAGGGATGCGGCCACACCTCGGCCGTCGATTGGTGGACGCTGGGCATCCTCATCTACGAGATGATCTTTGCTACCACGCCCTTCAAGGGCAGCACACGCAACGAGACCTTCTCCAACGTGCTGCGCAACGAAGTGCAGTTCCCCGATTCGACGCCCATCTCGTCGTTCGGCAAGTCGCTCATCCGCAAGCTGCTCATCAAGGACGAGCTGAAGCGCATGGGCAGCCAGTCGGGCGCCTCCGAGGTCAAGCAGCACAAGTGGTTCTCCAACATCTCGTGGGGCCTGCTGCGCAACTCGACGCCGCCCATCGTGCCTGCTTATTCCAACGGCGTCGACGCGGTCAACTTCCGCAATGTGCGCGAGTCTCGCAGCCTCAACCTCGACGACCAAGGCAACGAGACCAAGGCCGCCAAGCCGGCTGTCATCAAGGCGGTCGCCGGCCAGAAGAACGTCGGCGACGAAGAGGGCGATGCGGTCGTCAGCAACCCCTTCAGCGGCTTCTCGTCTGTCACGCTCAAGCACGATGACTACTGATCGCGCGCACAATCTTTCTTATTCGCATCCTTTTCGCATGGTCAGCGTCCTGAGACGCAGTGAAAACCTCTTGTCCTTTGCTCAGCAATCGCCTTTCCCATCTAAAGTTCGCTCCACTCTCATCACATTGCGGGCCTCACGTCTCTTCCTCCATTCACGGCAGTGTCTGCCTCGTTCCCCGGTCCAACTCGTTTATGTACTCGTCAGCCCACCTCGGACGTCGCAATCCAGTGCAGATCTCCCGGCATTGATCGTTTGATCGTTAGTGGTGGCCCGGGTTGAGCAAGGTGCGGTTCTTGAGCTCCGGCGGGGCGCGATTTTTCGGGATGTGAGATTTCCACTTGGCCGGGGCGGCTCGCACGGACACATGGAAGCTTTGCTTTTGGCAGATGCGGGCTTGCGCTTTCTCCACCATCTATTCAGCTCGACTCGTCGTCTTTGCTGCGTCGGGATTCTTGACCATGTCGTACTACCTGACGTTGATAGGCACGCGCGATAATCCGCTGTACGAGACCGAGATCACGCCCAAGACCGCCTCGACAAGCTCCACGGGCAGCGGCATCTTTTCTACGAGTAGCAATGCCGGTGCCGGTGCGGGCGGGGGTGCGGCCGAGTCGGGATCTGGTAGTGGCATGTTTGGTGGACTTCTCTCGCGCATCCCTACGACGGGTTCGGCGTTGACAGGTGGCAGTAGCGCTACGGCGGGGACATCAGGATCGCCAGCAGCAGCACAGGCACAAAGTGCAGCAGCGGCAAAAAGGAAGCAGCGCTACGAGCTGCAGATGATCGCACACTCGGCTCTGGATACCATCGAAGACGCTCTCATCACAAGCCCGTACCTGTAAGCCATCATTCATCACCTCATTTGGCGAAATGCGCACTGACCTTGCTTCGCAAACAGATACTTGAAAAGCATCGATCGGATTCAGGAATACACAACTAGCTGCTTCGTCGTTCCCGGCAGTAAGTTTTCCCCATTCGCGTCGTTTCAAAGCCGGAGAAGTGCTGACCCAGCTGTCATTGTACATGGAAAGACGTCAAGTTCGTGCTGCTGCACGAGCACAAGCACGAAGACGGCATCAAGAGCTTCTTCCTCGAGCTGTGGGAGGCGTATCTCAAAGTAGCCATGAACCCATTCCAGGATGCCAATGCGCCGATTGACAACCCCACCTTCGATGCACGCGTGCGTGCCGCAGCCAAGAAGTTCCTCTAGCCTGCAATTATACCCGCAACCCCTGCAAAAAGCTGATGGCACATACGGACACACATGCGAGGAAGTTCGGGAAAGGAGCGGTGCGTCTTGGCGTGAATGGAGACGTTGGCCGCCGAGGTTTTTCTCAAGCCGGGCTAGACAGTCTAGTAATACAGATGGGCTGGTGATGCAGCCAAGGGGGTGGGGGGTATAAAGGCCGAACTGGAAAGCCGTGGCTCTCACTGGTGTGGCCAGGGCGCCGTGACTGGCGGCAACGGCATAAGCGATGGTGGGAGAATGGGGTTTGTCGCATCCATCTTGAGTCTCGGCAACGGCAAGTCGAAGTTGGGTTGCGACTTGCGCAGTCCAGTTGCATGGAAGCTCGTCGTGCGCGACCGAGGTTCCAGCGAGGATGGCGAGCGGGGCGTCGATACGGAAGCCGACGACGCGCTTGACTGGACCGGTGACACAGCAGGTCTTTCCCGATCGCCTAAATTCGGCGAGGCGCTCCAGGATGTCGACTGACTTGGCATCTCGTATTCAAGCCCGAGCGCGTTGTCAGCCAGCGTCTCCCTGCGCGACGCTCTGCCCGATGGTGAAGCCTGCCCGGCCGCACCCAACGGTGGTAGCGACAGGAGTGGAGCGAGTCTCATCGACTTTTCGCCTCCGAACGTCAAGTCGTCACCCAACGGCGCACCTCCTAGTGCTTCGAGTCGGTGTCGCAGTTCAGAACGCTGCTCCATGAGTCGACGGATCATCTCTTCCAAACCCTGCATCTCGGCACGTTGCTGCTCGCCCTGCCTCCTCAACTGAGCCACTTCCGCTTCCAGCTATACGAAAAAATCAAAGTCAGCACACCATCATCGACTTCCAAGGGGAGCATGCGGGCTTACCTTGAAGATGTGTTCTTCCTTGCGGTCACGTAGTCTTCGTTGGGCGTTTCGGTTCTGTTCGCGCCGACGGGCCTTCTGGAGCATCTTGGCTGCCTGCTTGGCTTCTTCGCTCGGATACACGCGCTGGCGAGTGCGCTTCTTGACGAGCGACTCGTCCATGTGCGGACGAACATCGTCGCGAGGCATGTAGGCATCGTACGCGCGCTGAGCCGCAACGTCGTACAGCTCGGAGGCAGGGTATGCCGGTACAGCGCGGTACGTTGGTGGATAGTGCATCGGCGCTGGCGCAACGGCCGGCCATGCTACATTGTGCATCGTCACGGCACTCATCTTTGCTGTGTGGATCCTGGTGGTGGTTGGTGCGGGGTTGGTGGTGGTGGGAGAGGTTGGCGTTGCTCGCGATCGTCCTGCGGGTATGAGAAACGATGCGCAGCTCGGCACACGACGTTTGGGATGGTGGTGAAGAATCAAACGGTGTCCCGTCAAGAGAGGCATTCAGAGAGGACATTAAAGATATACCTCCTAAGCTCTTGGTCGAAGGAGAGCCACTGTAGCTGTTCACTGCGATGCGACTGTCTCGCTGTGGGAGGAGAGGGACGTTGGCCACGAGGGCACGGCACGAGGCCACACACGAGGGGGTTAGGGATGCACCAAGCCACGCGGAGAAAGTGCTCGTGCTGCGTGATGACTCTGCGCATTAGCTGGTTGTCTCCCGAAGCGGTTCTGGAGGATACCCGAAGAGCGGTGTGATCCGCGCAAGGCCGCGCCGAGATCTGGCAGCACGACCGGGACGGACTGGCGGGAAAGCGTGCGGAGAAGCAACGAGATTCGACGAGCTAGTTCACCGGTGCAAAACCGTCAGCACGGCCAACGGTATCGGAGTGCTAAACACCATTCCACCGAGCCTCCTCTGTCGGCTTGGCGGTACAACCGCCCTTCTCCCAAACCCCCGACCTCAAGCAGGCTCACACAATCCAACTCGTCGGCCAGATCGGTTGCACAAAGAGTGGTTGGGAATGAGGGCGAAGTTTTGGGCAAAGGTAAGTTGCAATGCTATTTTAAAGTCGCCGTTGCGTGGATGGGAGTTTTTGCACCAGCAGCCATAGCGATCGCATGTACTATACTTGTACGCTGGGACGAGTAGGCGAGCCGAACGATGCCAGTCTAAAGGGGTGCGTGTGTGGGCATCGACGGTATCAAGGGCTTGCCTTTCGGACGCCGAGCAAGCGAGCGTATGCATGAATGTGGGCCAATCGAGGAACGCGAACAGCTGTCTGTGGGGATCGGTTGAGCTCCATCGAGTTCATTGTCCTGCCATGCGACTCCCCCCACTTTCTCCCCCTTTTCCGCTCTACACTAGGCTTGGCCTGCAAAGCGGTCTGGATGGGCATCGGGTAAAGGACCCCCATTGGTAGGCATTGGGTTCGACATCGGCGAATGGTGGGTACCAGTGTGTCCTGAACCATTGCCGCTTCGCTGCAGGTTTCACATCTGGGCTTCCGAAAGCTAATCCTCTTCCCGAGGCGAACACCAACTCTCCTCTTCGCGCTCTCCAGACTGCCCGACCCACAGCGACTTTCAAATTTGAGCTGGGATTGGTACGGCACTGTGGTTCGGGGCGAAAGACACGCAAGGCGAATTGACACGAGCAGGCTTGCTGGCTTGTCGGCTTGGGCGTCGAGGGCATGCTGGCTTCGATCGCGCTGACCAACGCGCCGATTTGTTTTAGCGGCCGCCTGCCAAATCCAAGCTCCGCCCAACACTGTCGGCTTCGCCAAAAAGGAATCGCGTCCGCCGTCCTATTTTTGGCCTCCGATGGCTTTGCACCAACCAAACCACACTTGGATGCAGGAACATGCTCAAATTCGCTCCTACCTCTCAGCCTCGTAGACCTCAGGCCTGTCTTTCTGCCTCTGCTGTACACGCACGTGGAGGATTCGCTTCGTCTACTTCTCCAAACGCCGTCCGCATGCTGGTGTGACATCACCCCTTTTCTTCTTGCCCAATCCCCGCACCGCCAAGCCGACGGAAGCCTGCCCCCCCTCCCCACCTGACCGACACATGCTATGCACCATCTTATCCTAATCACAAACAAGACTATGGGAAGCCCTGGACGCATGGGCTTACATTTTCTTTCACCTATCTACAAACAAGAAAAACTTTAAATCGGCGTCTGCCAACCTGTTGCGAGTTGACCGTTGGACCGTCGCTTAGTTGGTCGCCGCGGCCGAGGCGGCTTCGGTGACGCTGAGCTTGGCCACATCCGGCAGCTCGTCCGGGTTGGTGATGAGCTTGGTCACCTTGCCAATCGCCACGGTGCGCCCTTCGTCTCGCAGCGTGAATCGTCCGAGCTGCGGATAGTCCTTGAATCTCTCGACGCAGATGGGCGCGGCGAGCTCGACGAGTGCAATGATCTTCATGCCCTTCTTGGCGAACTGCGGACCACGACGACTCTTCTTGCCCGTCTTCTTGTCGTAGTAGTGCAACAGCGCCGCCAGGTTGGCCTCCTGCGAGACCGTGTGGCAGTGGACCACGGCGCTGTAGCCGGCGCAGATGATGTTGCGGTGCTCGAGAATCGCGAGCTGCGCCTCAAAGTGCGTAGCCACGTGGACGGGGTGCGTCGGATGCGAAAGCACGTACCCCACGCTTACGTCTTCGTGGTCGACACCCTTGAGCTTGACGCGCACATTGTCGCCCGAGATCGCCGCAGGCACCTCCTCCTCCTGCTCGTTGAAGATGGCCACCACCTCGACGGACGTCTTGTTGGGCATGAGCAGCAGCGTGTCGCCCTTCTTGATCTTGCCCGCCTCGAGCTTGCCAACGACGACGGTGCCCATGTCGTTGTACTTTTCCGAGATGGGCATCTTGAGCGGCGCCGAGATCTTGCGGTCGCCCAGCGCGAGGTTGTCGAGGTACTCGAGCAGCGACGGCCCGTCGTACCAGCTGCACACGTCCTTGGGCACGCGCTCCTTGAGGTTGTGACCCGCGAACGCCGAGACGGGGATGTAGGTGATGTCGGTCTTGGGGTTGAAGCCGGCGGAGCGCAGGAAGGGCGTGAGCTTGGACTGGATCTCGTCGTAGCGCGACTGCTCCCACTGCACCGTGGCCTCGTCCATCTTGTTGACGACGACGATGAGGCGCTGTACGCCGGCGGTCTTGACGAGCACGGCGTGCTCGCGCGTCTGTCCGCCGCGCTCGAAGCCCGTCTCGAACTCGCCCTTGCGCGCCGAGATGACGAGCACGGCGACGTCGGCCTGCGCCGCACCGCTGATCATGTGCGGCACAAACGACTTGTGTCCGGGCGCATCGAGGATGGTGTAGCGACGCTTGCCCGTCTCAAAGTAGGCGCGGCCGACCTCGACGGTCTTGCCCTTCTCGCGCTCCTGCTGCGTCGAGTCGAGCGCCCAGGAGAGGTACCAAGACTCTCGGCCCGCCTCCTTGGCCTCGCGCTCGTACTTTTCGAGCGTGCGCTTGTCGACCATGCCGGTGAGGTAGAGCAGGTTGCCGCCCATTGTCGACTTGCCCGCGTCGACGTGACCGATGAAGACGATGTTGAGATGCGACTTGAGCTCGTCGCTCTTGTCGCCAAAGAGGTCCTTGAGCGTCTCCTCGTCGGTCACCTTGGCTGCCTCGGCGAGAATCTGGTCGGCGTCGTTGGCCGCACGCTCGGTGGCCACCTTGCCCGAGAGCGACGCCACCTTGGCCTCGGCCTTGGCGGCCGGAGCGGGCGACTCGGCGCGCGACGAAGGTGCTGATGCGTTGTTGGATGTGGGCGCAGGCGCTTCGGTCGCCTTGACCGCGGCGACGGCGGCGGGTTGCGCAGCGGGCTGCGCGGCGGGCTTGGCAGTGTCTGCAGCAGGTGTAGGCGTGCTCTCCGCCTCGGGCTTCTTGGCCGCGCCGCCGATGGAGATGCTGACAGGCTTGCGAGGTGCCTCTGCCTTGTCAGCTGCAGCAGCAGCGGCCGGCGCGGCGGGCTTGGCACCACCACCGATGGAGATGCTGACGGGCTTGCGAGGCGCGTCCGACTTGTCAGCGGCAGCAGGCGCGGGCTTGGCGCCACCACCGATGGAGATGCTGACGGGCTTGCGCGGCGC